TCCCTACATTCCCTGCTCCCCTCCAGCTCCTGCTTTCTCCCCATCCTCTGCTCTATCCAACCCCTGCTCCCAACCATCCTGGTCCCTGCTCTCCCCATTCCCTTCTCCCCCATTCCCTGTTTTCCCCATTCTCTTCTCCCCAATCCCTACTCCACCCATTCCTTGCTCTCCCCCATTCCCTTTTCCCCCATTCCCTGCTCCCTCCATTTCCTTCTCCCCCATTTGCTGTTCCCCCCAATTCCCTGCTCTCCTCATTCCCTGCTCCCCCAATTCCCTGTTCTCCCCCATTCCCTTCTCCCCATTCCCTTCTCCCCCATTCCCTGTTTTCCCCATTCCCTGCTCCCCCATTCCCTGCTCTCCCCATTCCCTTCTCCCTCATTCCCTGCTCTCCTCATTCCCCATTCTCCCCCATTCCCTGTTCTCCTCATCCCTTTCTCCCGCATTCCCTGCTCCCATTTATCCCCCACTCCCATTTATCCCCCGCTCTCCCCCATCTCCTGCTTTCCCACATCACTGCAACAAGAACAGCCATAAACAGTTAAAAAAAAAACCAAAAACCAACAGAAAGGAACCGGGAGATGAAGTTACCAATCATCCCGCTCTCCTGCCAAGTGAGTTCACGTCGGAGCCTCTTTCTTGGCCAGGATGAGGCAGCGAGRAAGAAAAATAGCTTTCCATGCAAAGTGGGGGAAGAAATGTACTTGGATTCCTCTGCAGAGCAACACAGCCCTGAAATCAATCTGTCCCAGCGCCCACAGCTCCTCTGCCCGCTGGCAGGGGGACAGGCCATTCCGAGTGACAGGGCTGAAATGGAGTCAATGAAAACACCCTCCCAAAACGGGATTGATGCTGCCCGGGAAGGGATTTTAATAGTGGCCAGATTGCCGGCGTTTTAGGGTTTATAATGCACTCGGGATCGAATGTCCTGATATTTCAAACCCCGTCCCGGGGGCTTGTTTTATAAAGGAAAACAACAAACCTTAAATTCAGGAATAATAAATCTCAGCACCTCTGCAGCCCTTTCCCAGCAGCCCCACACAGATCCTGGCGAGCTGCAGAATTCCTGCCTGCTCTGCCTGGGAAGGGGCAGTGCTGGGACTGGGAGAGAAATGCTGGACTGGGAGAGAAGTGATGGGACTGGGAGAGAAGTGATGGGACTGGGAGAGAAGTGATGGACTGGGAGAGAAATGTTGGACTGGGAGAGAAGTGATGGGACTGGGAGAACCATACTGGGAATGCAGTGCTGGACTGGGAAGGAGCAGCGTTGGGACTGGGAGAGAAGTGCTGGGACTGGGAAGGAGCAGTGCTGAACTGGGAGAAGAGTACTGGGAAAGCAGTGCTGGACTGGGATAAAGCAGTGCTGGACTGGAAAAGCAGTGCTGGGACTGGGAAGGAGCAATGCTGGGACTGGGAGAGAAGTGTTGAACTGGGAAATCAGTGCTGGACTGGGAAGAAGCAGTGCTGGGACTGGGAAGAAGCAGCATCAGAACTGGGATGGAGCAGTCTAGGACTGGGAGAACAGTACTGGGAAAACAGTGCTGGACTAGGATAAAGCAGTACTGAACTGGGATAAAGCAGTACTGAACTGGGATAAAACAATGCTGGACTGGGAAGGAGCAGTGTTGAACTGGGAAGAAGCAGTGTTGAACTGGGATAAAGCAGTGCTAAACTGGAAAGGAGCAGCATCAGGACTGGGACAGAGCAGAACCAGCTCAAGCCACCTGCCAGCACCATAAATCCATTCCCTGGCATCACCAAACTCCTGGTTCCGACCGTGCAGAAAAAAGCCACAGAAAAGGGGAAAAAGAAAGCGAAAGAGCGTGAGAGAAGGGGAGGGAGAGGGAAGGGGAAGGAAAGGGAGGGGGGAGCCACCCCAAGAGCCACGGGGAAGCGCAGGGCTCGGGCTCCTGGCACGTGTTCCCCAGTATTTTTCCACAGCCTGAGYACAGAACTCCTGCCTCCCCCTGACAGCCGAGTGTCACCCGATCGCACCGCACCGGAGACGGGGATTTAACGCCACTGTCCGTGCCCAGAGGTGACCAGCACAGCCTTGGGCTGCTGCCAGCTGAAGGTGACCTCCTCAGGATGGTCCTGGCCTCTGGGCACGCTCCAGGGAGGTTTTGTCACCTCCTGGTGTCACCTCTKGGGGACAGGGACGTGAATTCCCATAGGAAGGAGGCACAAACCCCATCACAAACCCGAGCGCTGCTTCCATCGCTCTCCCAGCCCTGGAATCCAGGGCTGAGCTCAGGATTGCTCAAGGATGTGACCCCTGGCAAAGGGCCCCAGGACAAGGGGACAAGGCCACCAGGATAAGCTGGGGGAGCTGGGGGAGCAGAGAGCAGAAGCAGCCACGCAAGAGCCCAGCGAGCAGATTTTATTATTTTTTAGTGCTCTGTTTGGCTCTGAAATTCCTTGGAAGCCCAACTCCAAACAAACAAGGACATTGTCTGGGGGGGACACGTGGAGGCYGGAATTTGGCTGAGAAAACCCACGGGATCACAAAGTCCCCGAAGGTCAAGGATTGCCACGTAGCATGGAGGGTCCAAGGGAAGCAGTGACAACCCTGTCCCCGTTCCCCAGCTGTCCCCTGCCCCACACCAGAGCAGCTCAGGGGTGACAGGGGGGTCACAGTGAACCCCTCTGTGCCATCCCAATGCTCCAAGGGGTCGGAGCAGCCCCGACACGAGCACGTCCCTCCATCCTTGAGCACGGTGCCTGCCAGGATCCTCCCGCATGGGAACACTGCTGAATTGTCACACAGAGCGGAGGAGAGGGACAGAGGGAYGGGAGGAAGGATCACACAAGTTCCCCTTGTTACAATTCAGTGGAAGGAAGGACGAGCCCTTCCCGTGAGACTCGTCCTCCTCACGGGACTGAGCACGGAGGGACACCATGGGCTGGCAGGGAAGTGACACTTCCAAGGTCCCTGTGGAGGTGGGGACACGCTGTACCCCTGCCCAGTGATGAACAACATCATCCCAGCCATCCTGGCACTGAGCCCCACACGCCCCACAAGCTCACCCCAAACTAATGGCAGAGAGAAATTACCCAATTCCAGCACGAAGCGGGATTTTTGTAAGAGAAATGGACGGGGAGATTTCACCAGCCTCTGATTTTTAGCGTGTCCCCAGAAGAAAAAAGGCCCGGGGGCAGGGAAGCAGCCAGCTCAGATCAACTGAGAAAATCAGTGCCTGTGACAAATATCCACGGGCAGCGAGGTGGGAGCTGCAGGAAACGCAGAGCCCGCGGAGAGCAAAAGGCTTTGAGAGCGTAAGGACTGGGGGAACAGCAAAGCTCTGAGGACAGCGGGGTGGGTCATGCCAGGGGCTGTCACCAGCCCTCATTTAACACATCTCACACGGCAGCAGCGATAGAAATCCCTGCAGGAACGGGAGGCAGGGTCCCGGGCATCCCCCTGGCAGCTGGAGCATCAATCTGCCCCCATCAGATGGCACCGGGGAGGCCCCGTTCCTGCTGGGAGCAGATAATGCCATAAAGAAGCAAATAAAGAGGGAAACCACTAATTGGATTGGCGGGGCTCTCCAGTCCTGCTGGAGAGTGATATTATCTGTTCATCCCAACCCCCAGCAACCCGACTCGGTGCTGGGAGGATTCATTCCTCTGCTTCCTTTGGGCTGAGGAATCATCCTGAACCTGGGGGAGACTTTGTAAAGGAGCCAGAGTGGCACTAAAAGCAGAGACCCCCTAAATCCCAGAGATCCTCCCCCAAAATCCCAGGAGGGGAGCAAGAAGCTGAGCCCTGTCCTGCCCGACTCCACGCTCTCGCCTGCGAGAGCAGAGGGTGAGGCCTCTCCCTAAAAATACACCCTGCCCTAAAAATACACAGGGTGAGCTTAAATTAACTGCACACACACCCCRGGCAGTGGCCACAGCCTGACTGGGCTGGCCACACATGGCCCCAGGACCCCCAGAACTTTTGGGGGACCTCCAGAACCTCCAGGATCCCAACTCGCACCCCACTGCACGTGGCAAAAAATCGCTCTCAGCTCCAGGATCCACCTGGAATCTTCCCTCATTTGCAGAGATCCGTTCATAAAAATTCACCCAATTTTTGTTGGATGAGCTATTGCTCATCATCCCACAGCATAATCAGTGGGATAAGGGGGTCTCTCTCGCTCCAGGCACCCTGAAATCCTCCCAAATTTCCCACCACATGAAAAGGATGGAGTCACCACAATCTCTCACTTCCAAGTTTGYTTCCATCACACCGATGCCACCAATCCTATTTTTCCCATCCTCTCCAAGAGATATCCCCAGGAGGATGATGCCAAGAAACCTGGCAGAGACCCACTGCAAACCCCAGATCCCCCAATTCCACCCCGATTGACTYGGTTTGTGGTGTCAAAGGATAAAACCAGTGACAGGATTGGTGTCCCACACCCCAGCACCCCACAGAGGGACCTGGGGCAGGCAGGGAAGGTGCTGGAAGCCCACAGGAACCCTTCATTGGGTGGAGGTTCTTGGGCTTGACTCAGAGAGCACCAAAATCCCAACCAGTAACTCTCCCTCCCATTCTGATTGCGGAACTGGGACCAGCAAACCCGAAGAGGACACGGAGCTGTAACCGCACCCATCCCGGCCAYGGAGCCACCAGCGGAAGGAAACCGCCACCAGCCACACCACCACGACTCATGTGGCACACACAGAGGCACCTTTGGGTTGGGAGTTTGCTCTTGGTGACTTTTTGGGGTGGGATTCGGTCACATTTTTGGGGTGGGATCAAAGGAAACAAGAATTGCCGTCCCAAAACCCGCTGCGCGAGTACCGGTCCCAATCCTGCCCATATCCCTTCTCATATCTGCACACCAAGAAACCACAAAACTTGCTAGAAATAATAACAAAAGAGAAGGAAACGGCCCTGTGGGAAGCTGCCTCCTTCCCAATTGCACCCACCACAACCTGGGGACAACGGGGCGGTCGCAAGGAAATGGGGACGGGGGAGCAGGATGGGGGTCCCGAGGGGATCAGACACTCACGGTGCAGGCTCAGGGAGATGTTGATGGACCATTCATCCACAAAACCCTTCAGGTTGGGGATCTTGGCGCACTTGAGGACGGTCTGGGAGGCGCTGTCGCCCACGTGGACCCAGCACACCGTGTCCTCCACGTAGTTGAAGTCCATGGCCGTGGTCTGCTTGGCGCTGGTGGGGGTGATGTTGGGCACGGGGGCTCCGCTCAGGTATGTGGCCAGGATGTTCTGGGAGTTGGCGATCAGCAGCACAGGAGGGCGATCCACAGGCTCTGAGGGCCAGAAGTGGACACAAAGTCATGGCAGAGCACCCAAAAATCCCATGGCTGTAACCCCGTGGCACTGCCACGGTCAGCAGAGCTGCCCCAAAGCCCCACGCTCCCCATAACGAGGGTCTCACCGTTTTTGGCTTTGCAGGATCTGTTGTCCGGCTGCAGAAGGTAGCCCTCAACGCAGCTGCACGTGTAGGAGCCCTCGGTGTTGGTGCATGTTTGACTGCAGGTCCCGTACACGGTGCATTCGTCAAAATCTGGGAAAGATGGGAAAAAAAAACAAGGTTTGGACCAGAAATCGCCCCTCCTTCGCTGCCTGGAGAGGGAATGAGGTTCCCCTCTTTSTCCAAGGTGGAGCTGGGGAGAAAAGGATGATCCCTGAGCCAAAGGGATCCTCACATTGTAAGGGATCCCAAGGGACCCTCGGGATTCYAGCCTCCCAAGGAATCAAAGGGATCTTCACTCCCAAGGCCACCCCACAACAGGTCAGGCAGCCCCTGTGTCCCCGCTCCAGCATCAGCTGCAGCAGGACAATTCCTGCCCAGGCACAGAGCCCCCCTCCAGCTCTGCACCTCCGTTCCTACTCCAAATCCCTCTAATCTGCAGCTCCCAAAGTGGCTGAGCTGCTCTTTGTTCCAGCAGATGAAAGCGGTGAATCCCCCAGAGCTCCGCGCCGGAGCTGGGAACGGTCCCTTCCACCACATGAAAGGGATGGAGCCACCACAATCTCTCACTTCCAGGTTTGTTTCCATCACACCGATGCTGTCAATCCTTGTTGTGACCCTCCCCTATTTTTCCCATCCTCTCCAAGGCAGGCACACCAGGAGAATTGGCCAGCCCCTGACTCCGTACGTGAAAAGAAAGCTTTTTCCTTACTCCTGGGATTCCTCACTCTGACTTCTGGGAGGGAGTCACATCCCATCCCATCCCATGGATTGGATCCCATGGATCCCATCCCATCCCATGGATCACATCCCAGCCCATGGATCCCATCCCATTCCGTCCCACCCCATCCCATCCCATGGATCCCATCCCATCCCATCCCACAGATCTCATCCTATCCCTTGGATCACATCCCATCCCATCCCTTGGATCCCATGGATCCCATCCCATCCCATGGATCCCATGGATCCCATCCCATCCCATCCCATGGATCCTATCCTATGGATAACCATCCCATCTCATCCCATTTCATCCCATCCCATAGATCCCATCCCATCCCATCCCATCCCATCCCATGGATCCCATCCCATCTCATGGATCCCATGGATCCCATGGATCCCTGATCCCATCCTATCCCTTGGACCCCATCCCATCCTATCTCTTGGATCCCATGGATCCCATCCTATCCCATGGATCCCATCCCATCCTATGAATCCCATCCCATCCCACCCACACCGTGCTCGCCACCCAAAGCCAAGATCTGCCCTGCCCCTTCCCCTCGCCGCCGCGGGACGGTGGCTTTGGCCACATCCCCGATGACCCACAGTCACCAGGATGGTGTCACCCATCCCAGACCCACCTCTGCAGCTCCTCCTGTCCTCGGCCAGCTGGAAGGAGTGGTTGCAGTAGCAGACGGGGCCGGACAGCGTTGGAGCGCAGTGGTGCTGGCAGCCCAGCGCCGAGCAGTTGGCCAATTGTTCTGTGGGGACARGGAGGATGGGACAGAGAGGATGTCACCCATGGAGGACACCAAGAAGGCAGGGCTGGRCGAGCAGGACCACCAGGATTTGCTGGGAAACTCAGTGCTGCTCAGGGAAAAGTCAACGAAACTCAGGGGCTGAGACCCTGACCAGAGAGATGGAGGGACTGAGCCCCTGACAGGGTGACAGCTCAGGGTGACAGCTTGGGGTGATGGCTTGGGGTGACAGCTCATTGTGACACCCCAGAGTGACAGCTCAGGGTGACAGCTGAGGGTCACAGCTCGGGGTGACAGCTCAGGTTGATCACTTGGGGTGACAGCTCAGGGTGACACTTAGGGTGATCACTTGGGGTGACACCCCAGAGTGACAGCTCAGGGTCACAGCTCGAGGTGACATTTCAGGTTGATCACTTGGGGTGACAGCTGTGGGTGACACTCAGGGTGATCACTTGGGGTGACACCCCAGAGTGACAGCTCAGGGTGACAGCTGAGGGTCACAGCTTGGGGTGATGGTTCAGGTTGATCACTTGGGGTGACATCTCGGGGTGACACTCAGGGTGACAGCTGAGGGTGACAGCTTGGGGTGACAGCTCGGGGTGACAGCTCGGGGTGACACTCAGGGTGATTGCTTGGGATGACAGCTGGGGTGACAGCTCAGGTTGATCACTTGGGGTGACAGTTCACGGTGATCGCTTGGGGTGACAGCTCAGGGCGACAGCTGAGGGTCACAGCTCGGGGTGACAGCTCAGGTTGATCACTTGGGGTGACAGCTGGGGGTGACACTCAGGGTAATCACTTGGGGTGACACCCCAGAGTGACAGCTCAGGGTCACAGCTGAGGGTCACAGCTCGGGGTGACATTTAAGGTTGATCACTTGGGGTGATAGCTCAGGGTGACACTCACGGTGATCACTTGGGGTGACAGCTCAGGGTGATCACTTGGGGTGACAGCTGCGGGTGACAGCTCGGGGTTACAGCTCAGAGTGACAGCTCAGAGTGACAGCTCAGGGTGACAGCTGAGGGTCACAGCTCGGGTGACAGTTCAGGTTGATCACTTGGGGTGACAGCTCAGGGTGACAGCTGAGGGCCACAGCTCGGGTGACATTTCAGGGTGATCACTTGGGGTGACACCCCAGAGTGACAGCTCACCTGCCCAAGCCTGGGGCAGGGACAGGCTGGGACTCGACGGCAGCTGCGAGGAAAGGGAGGAAATGCCTCCCTGGGGCGGCACCGGCCACGGGCAGGGGGGACTCGGCATCCGAGGGCCRGCAGCCCCAGCGTGCCCAAACCTGCGAGCACCAGGTGCCCGAAACCCTGAGCAGCTGCCCCAGCACGGCTCACGTGGCTCACGTGCTCTCCGGCCGTGAAAAATCAGATCCCACTTAAGTAACGAGAGCCGGCGATGAAATATTAATTCTCAGCTCGGGCACAGCTGCCCTGGGCTGCTCCTGTGGGATCTGGGTGGTGTGGAGGCACCAGCGGGGAGAATTTTGGGGCTGGGGGTCMTGGTGGGGTGGGCAAGGAGCCCCCCAGCCCAGGCAAGGAAGGGTTGGGGAGCAGAGAGGCTGCAAAGAGCAGGGTCAGCCCGGGACACACGTTTGTGAGCGATTAATCTGCGCGGCAGCACGCCGGTTTAGGGAGTTTTCCAGCAGGATTAGCCACGGGGACAAGCCAGGAGGGGGGACAAAGCTCCTGGAAATTAGGAAAAAAAAAACCCCACAGCGGTATCTCTTATCTGGACCAGAACCCCAGGCCTGCAGCTTTTAAAACCCAAGGAGACAATGCAGCTATTTCATGGCTTCGGGCTCAGGAATGATGGGCATTCCGCTTCCAAGCGGCTCTGGATAATCTCTGGATCTGTGACCGCGCTGAGCCGAGCGTGGCGGGACTCATGCTCAGCGGGAGAAACTTCATCCACTCCAAAAACCCCATGGGGCAGCCCCCTTTGGCCACAAATGCCACAAATGCCCCCCCGGGACCCCCAAAATTACCCCGGCAGTGCGGCCCCTCGTCGGAGCCGTCGAAGCAGTCATGGAGGCCGTTGCAGAGTTTGCTCATGTGGATGCAGAGCTCGGTGCCCAGGCAGTTGTGCTCGTTGGGTTGGCAGCGGTTCACTTTGCTCTGGGGACCTGTGGGGACACCAAAGGGTCAGAGTGGGGACAGTGACAGCCCTAAGACCCCCGAGGGGACAGCACCCTCCTCACCCTGAGACCTTGGCACAGGGGGGCCCCTCTGAGCCCAGCACAAGGAGATTTAATCTCCATTATTAACTGGAAAAATTACAAAGGAGGCCAGGCTTTATTTTTAAGCTGCTCTGAAAAGGAGCGAGGCATGGAGACAAACAACAAACACACCGTAAATCCATTAATGGCCTGAAACCTCAGGAAAAGCTCCTGCAATGTCCAGAATGGCTTCACCCCAGCCTGGAGGTGACTTCAGGGGTGACAACAAGCCCTGGAAGTGCCCCTACAAATCCTGACCCCCTTCATGGGGTCTCCTCCTCTCCCTGCCCCAAATCCACGAATTTCAGGGCCGAACACATTCCACTACAGCCACTAACACATCTCTGTCCGGCAAAACCACCAAAATCCCATTTTTCTGAGGCTGTTCACACCTCACTCTCCCCTCAGCAGGGCTGGCAGCGGGATGGTGGCAGAAATAGCTCCACAGATCCCCTCGGGCCCCCGGTGAGCACCGAGMAGGGCACAGCACGCACTGGTCCCGTTTTAGCCCAGTCACCTTCAGAGGAGGCTCCAGCAGCGGAGTTTGCCCTAAATAAGTTCAGCTCTCCTCAGAGAGCAGCGTTACATCACACACCGAGCTCCGTGTGCAGGCACATCCTCATCCCAGACATCACCATGGGATGCTGGGTGGGATTCCCACCTTGGGGTCCCCGGAGCTGCGGCTCCAGAGGGGGATGAAGACCCTCAGCATGGCAATGTCGCCTTTCCAGCTGCACCCTGGGGTTCTCAGAGAACTTCCCTGACTCTCAGAGATCTTCCCTGACTCCCAGAGACCTTTCCTGGCTCCCAGAGATCTTCCCTGACTCCCAGAGATCTTTCCTGGCTCCCAGAGATCTTTCCTGGCTCCCAGCACCCAGGAATAACGAGGACAGGGCAGGGCACCACAAAGCCCCTCGGAGCACAGGAGCCTCACATTGAGTCCACACAGTGGATTCATCACAGCCAAAATTTGCCTCTGTCCATTCTGGGTGGTGACACCCATTCCTGCACCCAGTTCCTGCACCCATTCCTGCTCAAGAGATGCCCGGAAAGAGGGAGGTGACACCCATTCCTGCACCCATTCCTGAGCTCCAAACCAAATCCACAATCGATGATCCTCGATCCATCACAGACAAAATTTCCCTGTCCATTCTGGGTGGTGACACCCATTCCTGCTCAAGGGATGTCTGGAAAGAGGGAGGTGACACTCATTCCTGCACCCATTCCTGCACCCATTCCTGCACCCATTCCTGCTCAAGGGATGCCTGGAAAGCAGGAGGTGACACCCATTCCCGCACCCATTCCTGAAAAGCAGGAATCT